GAGACCTGTTGGCCAGCAGAGGAGCCCAATTCAGTTCAACCAACACTGACTGAGCTTCCGACCAGACCTGGCCAGACTCACTCCTGTAATCAACTTCACTGAGTGTTTTGGGTTCTCTGAATATACACTTACCCACTGAATTTTGAGAATGTTGAGAAGGGGCCAAAGAAAGTTGATGTAAACTCCAGGGGTGAACTGAATGGAAAACAGATGGAAAGGCCCTCTGAAGGTGATCTCTTGGCCATTCTTCTGCTTTAAGGAAAGTTTAGATTAAAAAGATGGTCGTTTATCAATTCCTAATACTTTGAGATGAAGGTGGCTTGGTGACTTCCTCCAGTAACCTAATTTCTAACTATAGTTACAGTCAAAAAGTTTACCTTGGCTTACCCAGATTCTTCTAATTCAAACCAAAATGGTGAATGATAGAATTCTCTCTCTCTCTGTCTCCCTTTCTCCCCTCCCTTCACGCGTGGTCCTTTAATGACCAAGCCTAGAAAGACTGAATGTTCTCAGGAAGGAGTAAGGGCTTCTCAGTGAGGGAAAGACATTCTATCTTCTTTTCTTCAATTGGAGAGAAAAAGACAGGACTAAGTGGGATCAAGTGGGTGAAAGGGCTGCGAACTCCTTTGGGTATTTTTATTTCTGCAATAAAAGGAGCATTTCTCTAAATTGCATTCCTTTCCAGATGGAGCCCTCCCGTCCCCCCCCCCCAACTGATTCTGTTGTCTTATCAGCACTTCCAAAGGCTTTAACTTCTCTCTGATCTTTTGGCCCCAGAGGAAATCTCAGTGGGAGCTACAGTCAACAGTTGCTGGGCCCAGTTCCCACTTCTCAAGCCCCAACCCCCTAATCCATGCATATCAGGAGGGAGCAAGGTCCCATCCAGCCAGGCTGGGTTAATCACTCCTGACGCCCCTCACTGATGGTGGCGACCTTTTGTAACTCGTGTGTAAGAGTTGGAGGATGCTTGTTCTGAACCCAAGGGAGAGATAAACAAGAACAAGATCCGTCAGGTTCCTTGATCACCAGCCAGCCTCAGGGCGGGTCAGACCTGAGCCCAGATGGTTTAGAACTAGGTATAAACGGAGAAACCACAGCCAGCTTGGATATTCTAGATGCTGGCCCTCCAGGGCCCGTCAGTAAAGCCCTTGGATAGTAACTTCTCCCAAGAGTAAGCCGGCGACCTTTCTCACCACCATTAATCAGTAATTCTGGGCAACCGGCATTACTGGAGGCTAAAGTTAAGGAGAACTGATTTTTTTTATAAGAATGTTGTACTTATTAATTCCTTGCACCCCAAAGTTGTACAACCAGCAAAGTGAATGGACTGAGAAAAACCCTGGTACATTTCCAGGACTTCCCTTCCAGGTGGATAGCACTCTTCATTCCCTTTGTCAGAAGGGTTTTCCATGTGCATCAGGCAGGTAGAATGAAGTCCCAGACACTGGTCAGGGCACTGGTTCTCAACCAGGGATGATTTTTCCCCTCAAGGAACATTTGGCAATGTCTGCAGACATTTTTGGTTGTCACAGTTGGGGAGGTGCTACTGGCATCCGGTGGGTAGAGGCCAGAGATGCTGCTGAACATTTTACAATGCACAGGGCACCCCCTCCCCCTAACAAGGAATGATCCAGCCCCAAATCGGCCAGTTTCAGAAGTCACATGTGAACCAGTTACACAACTTAATCCCCACCTTCAGCTACTCCAAGAACCTCTAGTGTCTGATTGACTTGACACCAAAATATTGTCCCTGGCCCAAGTTAAAGCTGTGAACTCCAGCTTTATAGTGCGTGATCTTGGGTCTGGACACTGCAGTTAATTTCAGTCCCCACCCTGCTCAGCTTCAGGAACCAGCAGAGCTGTGCTAGCATAACAGTCCAGTGGCCACCCTGTTGCAAATCGATGTAAACCACGTGCCAGGCATCTGTCCACCCCAGGAGCAGCCATAATTTCACCCACCAAAATATGTTGGCATGTATCCACCAAAATCTTCTGCCAAGTCCAGCTTTGCACCTCCTAGGGCTGTGTCACGTTTGAGTCCATGTGCCTACCGCCTCTGCCCGGAGTCTCATTTGGATTCGCAGTGGCAGTGACCGTCTCTGTGACTAATCACCCACTTTCCCTCCCTTCCAGGAGGCTGCGTGTGCTTATGTGTTGATCGTGACTGCTGTGTACTGGGTGTCCGAGGCGGTGCCTCTTGGAGCTGCAGCCCTGGTGCCTGCCTTCCTCTACCCGTTCTTCGGAGTCCTCCGATCTAGCGAGGTTAGACCACTAGTGGCCGGCTCCCTGCTTGGTCCCTGCTGGGCCAGTGAAGGAGGGCTCAAGGTGAAGGGAGATTCACAGAGCACTTAAGGAGGGCTTCTTTCACCCTCTGGAGCATCCTCTTAGCACTTAGCCTTGGCACCTGCTCTTCCGGACCCTGAGATCCTTACCTTCAACGCATGACCCTCATCTCCCCTAAACTGCCTCTTTCAGGAAGCCTTTGGATTAATCACAGCCAATGGCTCCTTCAGCCTGAATGTGTGCTTGGCACATTCAACCAGACTGCTGCTCATCTTTCTCAGCCTTTTGATTGTCCATCAAAGGCAGGAATCAGGCTCCCATATCTTTGGAATCTCACGGTAAAGCTGAGCCCAGATGGAGTAGGTGCTCAATAAATGCTTGCTGACGGAAAGACTTACCATGTTTCCCTGAGACATGACGATGTCTTCATCCACTTCCTCTAAAAAACATTTCTGTTCCTTCTTCCCCAACGCAAGATGACTGCATATTCTTCCCTTATCTGCTGTCCATCTGGAGTCTGCCCTCTGTTCTCCCTCTCTCTCTCTCTCTCTAGCATTCTTAGAGCTGTAACAGGAGGTGTCAACATGAAGCCCAGGGGGGTGTCAAATTTCAGGGCAAACACTTAAGTCTACTGCTACATGGAGAGAAGAAAACCACAGCCAGAAACCAGGAGCAAGATGAAGGACAGTCCTCATTCATTAACACCTAGTTCCATTTGGACTGTCTCGCTATAGCATCTGGTCTCTATTCAGGGTTTCTGAAGAAGATTGAATGGTAGAGGTTAGTTAAGGACAGAGACATAGAAGAAAGAAGAAAGGGAACTAATGGTTTCTAACTAATCATGCCCCATACCAGAAGTGATATATATATATATCTTAATACTTAATATAACTTAATACTCCCAAGAGACCCCTACATAGTCAAATTTCCATCTTACAGATGAGGAAAGAGATTCGCAGATTTAAGAAACTTACCCAAGATCACAGAATGGGAAATAGTAGAATTGGATTCAAGCTCATACCTATTAGATTTCAAAGTCCATACACTTGCTTACCTTAACCATAAGAAAAACACTCCGTAATGTATGACGTAGCTTCATGGTGAGTTAATGCTGAGAACTGTGCATCTCTTCACCTGTGTGGTGTGAGGAAGGGATAATGAATCTGGGTCTGTGGGATGCCTTAACCATGGATAACAGAACTTCTTTTGAAAGATAAAATTAGACCATCCTTTTAATTGCTGTGCTTGATGCAAATTAACAGGTTGTCCTTCTAGTGGATGGACTCAACTGGCCGGTTTTTGTTTCTTTTGGTGCGGGGCATTTTAGTTTGGGGGTTGTTGGTACGTTTGTTTGTTTGTTGGCATTGAGTAGTCATAGTAGCCTCAGACTCTCCAAGAAAGGATAGGATTCCCCAAACCCTCAGCAGTGCTTTTTTTCCAGAGATGGATCTAAGGCCAATATCCTGGGGACCCACATAAAAGCTGGCCTGGGACCTGAAGCACTAGGAAGTCGCTTCCATTGTCCCCCTTTGTGGGAAGAGAACAGGCAGTTTGGATCTCTGTATGTGCCTAAAGGAACAATCAGCCTTAAACAGGACTTTTCTTGAGAGAAATGTATGAACTTGTTCTGCAGATTTCTCTTTAAAATTGTGAAAGCAAAAGCCAGTGAGTCACGGGGTGAAAGTAGAGAATGGAGGAAAAAATGAAGTTATAGAAAGAATTGAAACTTAGGTAACATTTTAAAGTGTTCTGACTATTCATTAGAAGACTAATATCTTTGTATTTCGCTACAGGCAGCCCCAAAGCCAACCTCGCGTGCCTTAGCCTTAAGGTAGATGCCATCTGTATTTCCCCAGGGGTTTCCTGAGCCGGATCCTACAGACAGGTGGGCCAATCAGCCCCTCCACGCAGTAAACATGTTGCCAGGCAACCGTTCATCCAAGGGCGTGCCCACCTGCACAGCCAGGAAGGCCAAGCCTATAAGGGGTCTAGGGAGGCAGTTTGTGAAGATAACATGACTCCGGGAGGAAAAAACAAAGACTGTTCAGGGAGAGATTAGGTGCTGTTTTTTCTAAGGCTAAAGATGGAAAACACTGGTGGAACCAGGGGACAGATTTTATCATTTGAGGTTAGAAAAATCCTACCCTAGCTGTCTGATAAAGTGGCTTTGGCTGGTGATGATATTTACCAGCTGGGCTACCTGGAGCAGTTTAGGCCAAACACATCCTGGCCTTCTAAACTCGGATTAGAGGCAATGCCAGTGAGATAGAGGACATGGGTTACAGCCCTTTGTGAGCCAGCCAACTCTGCAGACAGAGAGAATGTCTATTCCACAGCCACCAACTTCACCTCTCCTCCCGCATGTGCCATGGCTCACCGGGAACAGCCAGGCTGGGGGTCTGCAGGAGCCCCTATTCCAGGCAAGTCATCTGCTTGTCACTCCCCCAAACCCACCTGTGCTTGCCCAGCCCCTTGCCAGGACTCAGGCCTTTCTTCTACCTTGAAAAGTTCTCTCCAGTTCCTTCAGCTTTTAAAATCCGACACAATTACCCTGTTCAGTTAAATCTTTCCAAAAACTTCAGAAGCGTTATTCTCTTCCCATGAAGCCTCCCTGATAACTTTGTCCTTTAAATGGTACATCAGACACATCAGATATAAACTGGCTGTAGACGCATCCTCTCTCCAGCAAGACTGACGCCCGCTAGGATTTATGATGTCTTACGCACACGGGCCATTCTTGCCCTAGCCCTCAGTTAATGCTTCTTGATGGCAGTGCTTCTGGGTGGTGTGTTAAGCAGTGTACTCTCCATACGGAGGAAGGCATGTAAATAGGATCAGTGAGACCCTGAAACTGTGGCTTTTGTTTTTCAGTCAACATTCAGAAAAATATTTTCTGGGTGCTTTACCTACCCTGGGTAATATGGATGTTACAGATACCATGCATTGACAAAAATGAAAAAATAATAATTTCTGCCCTCTTGAATCTCATAGCTAATGCTTTGAGTTTCCCACTGGGGCTGGATGTGTGTATATAAATAATTCTATGTTATAGTGATGACTTGTTATACTGCAAGTATTAAGAGTTCATGTGTGCAAAGCTTAGACCGTCTTCTCCCCGTCAAACTCAGGTGCTGAAAAGAGATAGGAAATGATAGACGTGGCCCCTGACCTTGATGAGTTCCCGTTCTTACAGAGAGAAAGTATAAATCACGTGGAATAACACAGGAGACCTAAAGTAGTAATGTCTCATTTTCTGGCCCTGCAGAGGATTTATGCAATTCCCCATGAGAGAATGCTCTAGATAAATGAAATTTACCCTGCCAAGTATCCAAACTTTACATCAACCACTTTTGATTGAGATCTTTCCATAAAGCATTATAATTTCCCTGGTCCCTTAAATAGGAGTTGTTGAATGTAAATTAACTTTTCCTTTGGAGCCTTTAATATTTCCAGGGATAAAAATTTCTCAATCAGAGGAGCCAGATGTGGGCTGGATGACAGCACAGTTGAGTAACTGGAGTGCTGACTGAATAGCTGAACTTAAAGAATCCTGAGTAACATATTGGCATCATACAGGAGAGAGAGTACAAATGAGAATATAAAAGGCATGATATTGGATTTGCTGATGACTCAAAGCTGGGTGGACAAGCTAATGCAACAGTGACAGAATCAATGTTGCCAGGATGAGACAATGGACTGGAACTGGCTCAATGAAGTTTAATAAGGATAAATGTTAGCAGCTTGTGTGAAAAAGACCCTTGGCTTTCAGCTGAGTATAGACTCAGTAGGAACCATCTGTCAGTCCAATGTAGCTGCTAAAATGTCAAGCCTTTCCAGGCGCGATGGGAGGTCCTTTACATGCACTATATCATGTAACCCTCTGTAGAGTGGCCATTATTTTTACCTTCATTTTACAGAGGAAGAAACTGACGTTCAGAGAAGTTGTAAGTAGTGGTGCCAGGGCTTGAACCCAGGATTGCATGATCCCAGAACTTGCACCCTTAACCATTGGCCAATAAGTACTGAAATCTGCTGAATTAATAAACATATGTGTCCAGAATATCAATTTCTGGATAAGGAGCTCATTCGGAGGTGGGTAGCCAAGATGTCTAAAATCTAGAAGCTGAGTCACGTAAGGAATGAAGATTCAAGAAGGGCACGATTTTTCCAGCTTCTACAGCTCAACACACCAGGCTCAGAAGCTCAAACCAGAACCAGAGTCAAAGCACCATAACGGAGCTCCCCCTCTCTAGGGAAGACTCCGAAATGGGGGCCACGCACAGTCCTGCTGTGTCTGTGCCCGGAAGTGCAAGCCAGATGACCATGTCAGGGGCATGAGAGGTAGACTCCGTGCCTTGGAAGAGGGGCCGGGCTCTAAAGGCCCTTTGACTGTAGGATTCTATCATCTTGTAAGTATCCAGCCACTGCTTCCCTCTGCTGATGTACAAGGCTCAGTCCTGTATTTTAGATTTGTTTTCGGGCTTGCTGTTTTGTTCTGCCTCCATTGTGGCTCTCATTACTGTCATCGTATCTGCCCTGAAAGTCCTCTCAGCCCTTCTAATGTGTTACCATAGCCTGCACAGTACCTGTGTCAATCAAGAGAGCCAGGATTGACTTTATAGGAGAACGGCGTAGCTGTGGGGGCCGTGGGGGGCTCTGGGGAACTAAACAGCATGGTTTGAACACTGGGGCTTGGAAAGAATCTCAGGGATGCCCAGGGTCAGGAACTACTCTGGTAGTGATCACACCTGCTCTCTAGCTCTACCCCACAATATGTGTGGGCGCACAAGCATGCGCGCGCACGCTCACACACACACACACACACACTCCCTCTGCTTTCTCAGCGATCCTGCACTGCAGGCCCCCAGCAAGTCTCGTTCAGATTCTAGTTCCTGCCAGGGCAAGAGAGGCACAAGGCAGCTCCAGCTGGAAAAACAAAACAACCTGTACAGCCAAGTGATGCTTGAGTCTGACGTCAT